AACTCAAATGGTTTGTAGCAATCGCTTTCCTCAAATGGTTTGAGTTGCCTTAACTTATTGGGTTGTACAGTGTATGAAGTGCTCTTTAGTTCATTTTATAATAATAATAATAATGATAAGGGCGACATGGCAGCGCAATAGGTAGTGATGTTGCCTCACAGCAAGAAGGTCACCGGTTCGAGCCTCGGCTGGGTCAGTTGGCGTTTCTGTGTGGAGTTTCCTCTGGGTGCTCCAGTTTCCCCCACAGTCCAAAGACATGTGGTACAGGTGAAATTGTCCATAGTGTATGTGTGGGAATGGGAGTGTATGGATGTTTCCCAGTGATGGGTTTTGGCCGGAAGGGCATCCGCTGCGTAAAAAGCTTATGCTGGATAAGTTGGGGGATCATTCCGCTGTGGTGAGCCCAGATTAATAAAGGGACAAAGCCTAAAACAAAATGAACGAATGAATGAATAATAATAATAATTTTTTTTTTTTTTAACGTTTATACAGTGCAGGGGTTCTCAATCTCGGTCCTGGAGGTCCGGTGTCCTGCAGGTTTTAGCTCCAACCCCAATCAGACACACATGGGCTAGCAAATTAGGGTCTTACTAAGCTTTCTTGAAACATCATTGCATCTATGAGGCAAGTTGGAGCTAAAATCTGCAGGACACCAGACCTCCAGGACCGAGTTTGAGAACCCCTGATTTAGCGCTTTTCTGGACTCTCAATTGTTTACACAATTTTGGGGGAAATCCCCTCATCCACCACCTGTGTGTAGCATCCACCTGGATGATTCGGCTGCAGTCATATTGCATGTGAGAGTTGCAGAGAGCTAGCTGCTAACAAATCTTTTACTTTGTTGTAAAATCCGTTATCTTTGTTCCAATGTTATTGTCTGTGCTTTGCTATTTTGTATAGTTTTGTATAATTTTGTAAATTGTATGCAGCTGATTTGAATGTTCTCAGTGGTTATCACTGATCGATATGGCCAGTATAGTAGGCTCAGAAGGCTGTATCATCCATCCACATGGTTAATCAGCTATAGATCACATACGGCTGCAGTCGGAAGTTAACAAGAACTATTAATATTATTTATTAAATTTCCCATTAATTGTATTTTATTAACGTCTACCCAAACCCTAAACCCACCCGTCACAGTAATGTAAAAACAGATCGGTATCTGGACTCTATTAGCAGAGCTGATTAACCATGTGGATAGATGAGAACTGCCTTCTGAGCCTACTAGTAGGCAAAAAAGGCCCCTACTAGCCCATATCTATCAGCTGATGACCACTGATAACGCCCATTCAATCGAGTGATAACATTCGAAGCGGGGGATTTTATTCAGATGCAGCACTCTTCTAAAAAATCATCCTATATAATGTAAAATTACAAATTCTTTCCAAATAGAGTTACTCAAGTCATCTTGTGAAGTTATATTCATATTGCAATGTATATGGTAGAAAATCTAAATATTACAAGTCATTGTTTTACAAATATCGTGCAGCCCTTGTTCAGACCACTTCAGATGGAGGACTGGAACACATTCCATATGAAACTGGACGGGTCTAAACGCATCATGTTGTTGAATCCACATATGCAAATTGTGTTCCTCCCAAAATATAAATAAAACAGATAAATAAACATGTGAAAGAGCGTGTTATGGACTATATGACCGTCTGATATAACAGAGCAAATTTATTAAGCAATGATAGCAGTTTGTGATGTTTGTTTCATTTTATAAAATTTTTTATCACTGTAAAATCATCAAATTAAAATGTTAAAATAATGTCAAATGTCAGCGTTAAGAACAGAGACGCAGCTTGCACCTGTATCATTTCTCTGTGAAAATATAGGAAATATTAAATAATAGCAAATAGTTTTTTTGTTCATTCACAAAGGGCACAGAGTTTTGACTTTTTGAGAGTAGCTTATACACAAATTAATGTAAATCCTTTTGAGTTTTGCCTGATAAATTGTTCGTATCTGTACGACAGAAATAGATCTTTCATTTAGCCTAATATGAATCGCAGAGCCTGACTGCTGATTGATTACTGGAGTATAAGTGAAGTTCAAAGCCTTTTTATTAACAGGTGAAACAAAGTGGTGTATTTGACACTTTAAGAAAAAAATCGAACCTAAAAAATGTGAAATTGAACAAAATCCAGCCAAAATGAGGTTCGTATGCAGTATACCAGTATATTAGAAAATGGTATACTATCACTCAGATTTATATCCGTTTAGCAGAGACAAATATACAGTTTGTGGCCATATGTAAAAGGAATCATTTTCACAAATCAAATATCTATCCGATCAGACAAAACGCATGAGTTCACCAGGTGTAAACAGCCCCTATTTACTGAAAACAGAAGAGTTTGCGTTTGGCAGAACTACTTGAAAGCGTCACTCATCTGCTGTCTGTCTAGTAAAATTTTACAGGTTACATTATGTGGTGGTACATTCCATCAGTGTTTTACAGTAAGACCCAACCACAGACCTCAGGTGGTGCTCATTTCAGGGTGTAATTGTCGACTGTGCAACTTTCGTTTTTCTCTCTTCCTACACATAATGCTTACTAAAGCATTATTACTACTATTATTACTTAACTTTAGTGTGACATGAATGTGTGAATTATGAAATTGTATGAATTATGTGGTTTGTTAAGCAGAATCCTGTGCAGAAAATGTGCATAATTGAGTAGGATAAACGTTTTATTCTATAGGAAAAGATGCACTTAAACTACAATGGAAACACTTTTACCTAAGAAATTCCAGGATGAATATTAAAAAAGTCATGGGATTTTTTTAAGAAATCATGTGATAAAGGTGTGTGAATGGACAAACCAGCAGGCTGAGCTCACTGTAAAACATCTGAAACGTTATTTTGGTCAATCTAAAATGCCTCAACCATTTCAGTATTAGTGTTATCATATTAATAATGACCCCCAGAACTGTCAAGAACATCTGTGCTCCGTGTATCACACAAACGCCACCCAGTAATTTATTAAATAAAGAAAAGATTCATGCAGCTCCTACCTCAGCAAATTCCGTTTTACTTTTTTACTTCCTGACTTTTTTAATCAGGAAGTGAGGATTTTGTTCTCTTTGATTTTGTCGATAGAAACTGTGGAGACTTTATGCAATTTTCCAGTTTTGCAAATAAATTCTTTTTAAATCTTTTTATAGAAACGTAACTAATAACACTAATTACACCTGCTGTACAAAGTAAAAAAAGCATTTAAATGGGAATATCTCTTAAATAAAGGATAATTCTGTGTGAAATACAGGAATCTTTTACTTGTAGTTGTTGGCAAGTACCCAAAGTTACCTAAACTAAACTACAGCTACACGGACTGAAGCTCCAAGTTTTGAAAATGGATGTGCGACTGTCCACAGTTACTCTTTGACTGGACCATTGCGTATGTATCCCTAATTTGTCTCTCATATGACCAATATGCAACTGGTAGATGGCAAGTAGGAATGCCGGCAATATACTTGCTTGCCTGGTGGAACATGATATGGTCATGTATCATAAGGTTTACACTGTATAGTGTGGATGAAGACCATTTTTCTGAAACGCAATAAAAACACCAAAAATGAAAATGATTTAAATTGAAAATGCAGTTGTGTAAATGGCACCCCATCCCTAAATCAGAAAAGCTATAACAGTATGGAAAACGCAAATAAAAAAAAGTAATGATTTCTAAATTTACTTTCACTTGTATTTCTTTGCAGACAATACAACAAATACTTTTTGAAAATATTTGGTGAAATATTCAAACATCTTCCTATTTTTCTTTGAGGGGCATTGTTTTTAAACATTTCAATAATTTTCTCTCATATTTGTTAGCAAACTGGTCATAAAGGTCTAGAGCTTTCTTAGATGCTGCTTTTGTACCAGAACAAATCACAATAACCTGTTGACGTCACCTGTTTTAAACCACAACATTATTTAACCAATTTTCCTAATTGCTAGCCCTTATTTTTTTTCTGCCCCAACATTTTTTATGAAATGTGTTGCAAGAACCAAAATTGGAATATGTGTTTATTTTGGAAAAAAATAAAAATAATAATAATACAAATCATTCAATGAAATACAAGTCAAAGACTATTTACTTTTTTATTTGCATTGTCCATACTGTCACAATCTTTTGTGATTTGTGGTTGTACAAAATTTGAGATATAATTGAAGTGTGTGACATTAATGAGTTACACACCAATGTTCAATACTTAACTTTTCTAGGTGCAGCAACACAAAGAGCACAGACGTCTTTTCAAATTAAACACCAATAATTACCCAGATTCTAAAAAGCTTCACTGTGCCACACTAGTACTCAGTATGTATGTATTCTTCAGTTTATGTTTTATAAGTGGTGTGCTTTTAACTGTATGAAAGAAATCCTTTGAGTTTCTAATGATTCTACACACTGTCGATACATGTGCATGGGCGTGAGTTCAGCTCAAATGAGCTTGAAAACTATTGCTGCAAAGTCATAGCTCTCTTTAAGGTAAATTTAGCTTAACAGTGACCATGTGTTGCTGTAGTGAAGGGTTTGTGCATGCGTTAGCAGATTTTTTTTCAGCGGCTTATTTTGACGGTCCTGCCATGATTAGAATAACTGGGCCTGCGTTGCATTTTCCCAATTCTCACAAAAGTTAAACACTCGCACATGTGCTTTCTTTGCTCTTATACTGCTGCGTTGTTGGAAAAAAGTTAGAAATCCCATTTTTGGGTGGCAACAATGTAAATGTTGCAATTAAATATTACGAGAGTTTCTGCAAGGCCTGTTATTAAACTATTGTTATGGCAACAGAGTTTAGCTGACACTAACTGTGTCCATGGACTTTTAATATTAGGATTTTTATTATTAAAAATATCAGGTTAAAACTAATTTAATGTTAAAATAGGGTAGTTTATGAATGAAAATGGCAGTTTCTGTAAACATTGATCATTGTGTTTTTTATGATCTATACAAAATCCTTCAACTTTGACCATTCTCTGTGTTTTTCTTTCCACAGGACACACTGGATGTTACATCAAGGCACTCTTCAGCACCAGTCTGATTTTTATCTTGGGACACGTTACCTTTCAGATCTGCCTGTATACCATCCCAAGCCTTGATGACGCACTGGGACACAACTGTAAGTTTGACCCATACACAATCAAGAATTATGCAACATAAAAATCGGGTGCATGGAAACAAAGCTAATGACAAACAGAGTCATATGTGCGTTTGTGTCTGCATGCCATTATGTTTTAGAAAGCTTGCACTCCAGGCAGTCGTAAACATGTTCAGCACTGTTTATAGAAGCTGTGGTTTTGAGATGATTTTGTTGTAAACAATGTCCCGTTTCGTTGCACAGATGGTCAGTTCATTTCATAAGACCTCAGTGTGTTGTCAGGTACCACAGGTATTTATTTAGTTTCGTCTGTATGTGTTTTTTTGTTTTTGTTTTTTTGACTCTCAAATGGTCAGATACAGTTTATAATTCTTCAAGGAATATTGTATAAGCTGATAAGATCTTCTTTAGTATTGTACTGCTAAAGAAAAAAAGGGGGAAATAGACATTTGCATACATTACCTGACAAAAGTCTTGTCGCCTATCCAAGTTTTAGGAACAAGAAATAATAACTTGACTTCCAGTTGGTCAATTGGCAACAGAAGTGGCTTATATGAAAGACAAAAGCCTCTAGATTATGCTTATTTTAGCTAAATATGCCTTGATTATTAATTTTTCATTAGGACAGTAAGATCTGTCTTTGGTTAGACAAAAGTCTTATCACTTAAAAGAAATAATGTCATGGTGCTGTGAAAAAAGAATGAATATTTTGTATGACTCCCATGAGCTTGTACGACTGCATCCATACATCACTGCAATGACTCAAATGACTGATTAATAAAGTCATCTGGAACGGTAAAGAAAGCATTTTCGCAGGACTCCCAAGATTCATTAGTATTCTTTAGATTCATCTTCATTCCCTCTTTGTTCATCTTACCCAGACATGCTCAATAATGTTCATATCTGAGCTGGCCAATCCTGGAGCACCTTGATCTTTTGAGCTTTTGTACCAGATCAAATCACAATAACCTGTTGACGTCACCTGTTTTAAACCACAACATTATTTAACCAATTTTCCTAATTGCTAGCCCTAATTTTTTTCTGCCCCAACATTTTTTATGAAATGTGTTGCAAGAACCAAAATTGGAATATGTGTTTATTGAATAGTCAAAGACTATTTACTTTTTTATTTGCATTGTTCATACTGTCACAATCTTTTGTGATTTGTGGTTGTACAAAATTTGAGATATAATTGAAGTGTGTGACATTAATCAGTTACACACCAATGTTCAATACTTAACTTTTCTAGGTGCAGCAACACAAAGAGCACAGACGTCTTTTCCAGTTGGGCTGGGTTATTGAAAACCAGATATTCATGGAGATATTGATTTTGCACCAAATCTGAGATTTTCAAAATTCATTACTAATTTTCTTCAGTCAATTTTGAACTTTTTAATGGCAAATGGTACTTTATTCATTACAAATTATACTTAGCTTGGGACCAATTTCCTTACAAATATCACTTGAACCTAAAATAATCTTTATTAAAGTTAGGAAAGGTTAAGTGAATTACAAGGGGATTTGTAGTAATCTGTGTTTATAGTAATATTGGGACATAAAAGCCAACTTATGAGAAAAATGCACAGGTGATCTTCTTGTTGAACATTTGAGAATGCTTTAACACCTTTGGTTAAGATCATTTAATCTAGACCAGGAGCAACAAATGGTACATTGTAGCATAATTCTGTGACTCTATACACATGTTTGGTCCACTTTTAGGCCCAATTCTACCCCTTAGCCCTTCCTCTTTCTCATTCCCCTTATTTTGCACGTTTACATGAAGGGGTAGGTGTGTCCCTATTCTTTTTAGCTTGAAGGCATAGGGCTAAGGGGAAGAGATAGATAGCCCTTAAAATGTTTTTTCCAGGACCACACTCCAAACCAAGGGGTATAAAAATTTTGCAGAATGCACCATTTGCAAGGCAGCATGGCTGTACATAGAGGTCAAGAGATGCACAAATTAGTATTTTTTGTCATTATTATTCAAATTTTCGACAAACAAACATATGTTTTAATACTTTCATAACACCGTTTGTTTTTAATCATCATGTTAAAAAAAAAAAACTATTTTAAAACCCGCTTAATTTCGCTATCTTTAATCCATAATAATAACTCATGTAGTAGTCCCACAACATACAGTACTTCCACATCTGTCACTGGATGAAACTGGAATACCCTGTCAGAAAAGCCTAGTGGCTGGGAGTTTTCTACAGTGTCTGTTATAATGTTACTGTTGTTTTTGTGTGTTTAGATAAATATGACCATGGTGTAAACACACAGTACAGTTATGAGCTTATTGCCACATTAGATCGTTATGATAACATGAAATTGTTGCATTCAGTGATTTCCTGGAGATATATACCACAAAATTATGCAACTGGCATAACTAGCAGTCGCCATTGTCAATCTCATATGTAGTTAAAGCTTGCGATAACATAATGAGGTGTGCCGATGATGTTGTGGTGCCCCATTTCTTAGTGGTAAAATTTGAAGCCCTTCACCTTCACACTCTGTTTCAAGTGCCAAGGGGAAGGGGTAATTGGGATTGAGCCTTAGTGTGAACTACAGTTCGATTCAACTGAACTAAATAAGGCAGGTGTTGTCAGGGTTCTGCCACTCTGGTCATGTAAATTCTTGTTTTGGTGGCAGAATCTGGACACTAGTCATGTCTAGTCCTGTCCTGTTGTGCTCGGCTCAAGTTTTCCTGGGTCGAGCACTTGTTTCTGTCATTGTGTGTGTCTCCGTGTGTGCTCTTGTACTCGTGTTTGTGTTCGTCTGTCTGCAGCGTGGTGTTTCATTCCCAGCGTCTCAGTCTAGTTGGTTTCGGTTTTGGTCGGCGCTGGGATGAAGCATGCACGCTGCATGTGTGAGCGCACAGTGAGTGTTTTCATTCATCGTGTGGTCGTGTCTTGCGTCTGTTGTCAAAGCACGTGGCTATGTGTTTACATTGTGGTCACGTGCTTTTGTCGTGTGCTTCAGTGTTGTGCTTGTCTTGTCATGAACATGCGGTTAATGAGTTCTCTCATTGGCTACATGTTCTTGTCCTGTTTCATGTGAGCGCATGTCTTGTCTCTGTCATGCGCTCTCTCGTCTATTGTCTAGTCCCACCCTCCTTGTTAACCCATTATTAGTTAATTGTGTTCACCTGTTTGTGTGTTAATTTTCTACTGCTTATAATCTCCTCATGTCTTCTGTTCTGTGCCAGTTTGTCGTCTACACTCCCCCTGTGTTCCTGCTCCAGTCTTGCCTTGCCTTGTCTTGACAGCCCAGCCAAGTTTGTGTGTTTTGTTAATGTTTTCCCCCTCGGGGTAGTTTTGTTTTGCCTTTTTAATTTATTATTGATAAATACCCATTATTTCTTTGCACTTGAGTCTTCGCTCCTTTTCCACTTAACTGACTGTGACAGGTGTAAAAACATTAGTATTTGATTATCCAATATACAGTACCCTGAATTGATTCAAGAGAGAACAGCAATGCATTTTGGAAATCTCAGAATCAATTTCTCGAACGATTGCTTGCCACACCCCTATGAATAAGGGCAATATTCATATATTTCTATAATGACATGGTCCTGTGAAATGAAGAAATTGATCAACTCGATTGCTTTTAAAAATGGCAACTATGTTGTTTTCAGTTTGTGAAACTATAGTAATGATAGTGCAATAGACATACAATAACCATTAACTCTCATTATGGTGACAGTAGAAAGTGCAACAGTCAGTTCGATTGCCACAGCGAAGGAAGTCCGGCCTTTTCTTTTTGGTTCTGTGTGTTTGGAGAGGGGGTGGGGGGTGTACATATCATATTTGCTCGTTTGTTATGGCAAACACTGTCATTTGGTGACTACTGAGTGCCTGCATTGATATTGACTGAAGAAATGACATCACTTTAAATCCCACCACATACCGTGTTGTTTCAGTGTAGTCATGTGGTCTTTGCTGTGGGTTTTGTCTTTGTTCTTCAAGTATTTGTAGCTTTTTCCTGTGATTTACCATTAAAACAGCAGTAAAGGAGGTTGATGTTGCGGCATGTGTAATAGCTATGTAATAGCTGGAAAAAAACTGTAAATATATTTAATTTTAATGGTAACTAATGCTTAGGCAACAACAGTAATGTGGCAGGTCACTTCAGACTTTATTTAACATATGTCATTTAATTGTGAATTCAGTGAGCAGTTCTCGAAATCTTAGGATTCTCCCATTCATTTAGATGGGACTTTGAGGCATTGCAAATATGGACAAAGAGTTAGAAGACTTTTCCTGTAAGGGACTTTGTCCATAGTCTTAGAGTCCCCTTTTGTGAATGACAAATATAGACTACTGACACCTGTTGGTGTAGGCAGATTTTCCCTCTAAGACAGGCACATAATTTATGTTTTAAACCACCAGCCTGATTTCACCAAGTAGTAGATGTTCCTGAATTAACATGTTGATCCTGGAACAATATTCAAATCAGCCAATCAGAATTAAGGGATAAGTTTACTGTTTATGTTAAGTTTAAGCTCATGGGTAAGTTTATGCACTTCTACTGTATACAAGTGCTATCCAACTATTATTGCCCTCTGATTTTGGGAATAATATAAAATTATGATTGGGTTAGGGGTAAGAAATAGTTATGGTTTAAATTTTCAAACAAAAATGATGTTCCAGGATCAACATAGATATTAATTTATGATCACATCGTATTTGGCAAAATCATGACTTGCATGCTTAACAGTTGCATTTTACCATTTCAATCCATTGAGGCAATTTATTTATTTATTTATTTATTTATTTATTTATTTATTTTTTAGGTCTAGCTTGAGCACTTTAAGCTTAGCATAAATCATTGGAACAAATAGAACCATTAGCATCTTACTCCAAAAATTCAAAAGAACTGGCGTTGGAGAAGCAAAGTTCCTTGAAAGCAAATCAAGTTTTTTGATTAATACGACAGATCGAGAGTGTAGTTCTTAGCCATATCAACATAGAGAATAACAACTTAACATTTGTTGGTCTTAGCACACAGTGTAACTACAGTAGAGTCAAGCTTTTAATAGGAATATTATCTGTACTCTTTTTTTTTTTAGCCTTAAAGATTTAATCAGATTTAATGATTTATGTTAAGCTAACCTAAAAGTGCTCCTGCCAAACCTGAAGATCAGTTGAAAGGATAAAAAATAATAATAATAATACAACTTAACTGCTTAACATGGGGGACTTATACAATTACCAAAACAAATGAAATGTTCCTTGGAACTTAATATTGTAATCCAGTTGCAAGATACCATTGACTTGATAACAATAGATGTTTTGATGTCTTTTTTGTTGTTGGTTCCATAGTAATTTGATTAACTAAAAAGTCATTTTATAGTCTACACCTTTTTTTCTGTAAACAAGTACCTATGAAATAAAATCAATATCTGATCGCCAAACCGATTTGTCCTCCAATTTTTTGGATTTGACAGAATCACAGTATGATGGAGCAGCTGATGTTTTAGAATGACATGATATATATGTAAGCTGTTTGAGCAACCACAGTCATTAACTTCCTTCATTTGAGGTTTTGCGTTTGGCTTTCCAAACTGTCCCGAAGAACCTTATGAATCATCACAGAGTTCCAGACATCTTTAAGGAGTCGCCAGGCAGGCTGCAGAGAGTTGAAGGGCTGGTAGCCTTTGGCTGACTCAACCAAAGGAGAGTTCAGTGGCTCATGGAAATGTTTCAGGAGCTTTTGCGAGGGCACTTGCGGTTGCCTCCTCTTTATGACCTACTTGACAATGTCCAGCACTTAGAACTCATTGTGACTTACTTTATCCAGTGTACTAACCATCTCTCTCTCTTTCTCTTAATTTTTCTTGTTCTCTCTTTAGGCAGCTCATGGGAGACGCTATCAAGACATGTTGGAGTGTCCAGGTATGTGGAGAATGTAGAGAATGAGAGCACGTGTGTGTGAGGAGCCACGCTGACCTATTGAAGACCTTATGAACTCTTAAGTTCATCTGACATTTTTATCAGGCTACTGTGTTTAGTTTTAAGTCATTTTACTTTGACAATGGAAAAGAAAAGGATTTTTATAATACATTTAAATTGCTTATTGTCATGCCATTAAAGTGAATTTCCTTCATGTAAATGGTGGAAGCTAATAAAAAAATGCTAAGTTAAACGAAAAAAATTAGAGATGTACAAGTTTAATTTAATTTAATTTAATTTGTTTTATTTTATTTTAATATCTTTATCATGGCCCGTGCATGGAATTGTGAGATCAGTTATTTATTTATTTATTTATTTATTTATTTATTTATTTATTTTTGTAGAATGGTTTTTACACTAAACATTGACAAAACATGATGTTGCTGTTTATAACATCTTACTGTCTTTTGTATTCACATTATAATACAGTTATTGAATTAGAAACAATAACAAAAATATCTATATTTAGATACAATAATAAAATATTGTAAGTAAACATAGGAGCCTAATACTATGCTATGGAATTGTGAGATTATTAATTGAGTAACTGGTTTATTTATTTATTTATTCATTCATTCATTCATTCATTCATTTTCTTTTCGGCTTAGTCCCTTTATTTCTGTGGGGTTGCCAAAGCGGAAAGAACCGGCAACTTATCCAGCACATGTTTTACACAGCGGATGTCCTTCTAGCTGCAACCCATCTCTGGGAAATATCTATACACATTAGTTCACACACATACACTACGAAAAAATTTAGTTTACCCAATTCACCTGTACCACATGTCTTTGGACTGTGGGGGAAACCGGAGCACCCGGAGCAAACCCACGCGAATACAGAGGGAACATGCAAACTCCACACAGAAATGCCTACTGAGCCAATAATATCTGGATGCAGTCTTTATGATGCAAGCTGAGATTGCATCACTCAGCGATGCAATGTCAGACAAAATGGACTTAATGGAGTGAGTGATGTCACTGTGACGGGTAGGGTTAGGGGTAGGGTTAGGTGAGCGCATTAAAAAGAACTGGATGCAGCCCAGATTGCACTGCACCAGGTCTGCATCCAGACTCCTCTCAAATGAGCCGAGGCTCGAACCAGTGACCCAGCGACCTTCTTGCTGTGAGGCGACAGCACTACCTACTGCGCCACTGCTTCGCCCCACTAATTAATAATTAATTGTAAAATTAAATATTTTTAATGGTAATATTTAATATTTCAGCAGGTCAACATAATAAGCTGTTACGTTCCCCTCAACTCTGTCTAAAGGGACACAGGCACGCAACAAAATGTTAGTGGAGTTTTGTGTGTGTGTGTTAGCAATGAGGTCCCATGAGCAACCTCTCAAAGGACTAGACAAAACTATGCGACCTGAATAAAGATTAACAAAAGGTTTATTGAAGGATTGAGGGAGGGTTAAAAAAAACTTCAAGAGGTGGTTCAAGCCAAAACAAAAGTTCTCTAACTGAGAGAAAGGGAAGAACTAAATAATCTATAAAAGAAAGAAAAGAAAAATAAACAAATTATATATTTAAAGTCTCACAAAAGAGCCTCCACACACACACAAAAACACACTGTTCTATTGGAGACATGCTGCTTAAATGCCCACAACTTTACTCATCCTCCAATCACTGAGTGGTTCATGAGTGGCAGCAGGTGACGTTCATCATCTCCTATTAGGGTGTAGCAGAGAAAGAAAGAAAATACAAAACAGAAACAAATACATCCTGGGACGTAACAAAGCAAAATACATATTTTCTTAATAATCACTAACAGTCTTTTGACTTGTTTGTTTGCAACACTTTATAGTTTAGATATGACGCTGTGTAACAGCTGAATTTTGTTTGCTCCTTCAGGCTCCCGCTGGAAGATCCTCAGGGTGTGCTGTGGCTCCTGACCCCAGATTTGGGCGTCTTCATCATGTCGCTGATCACCCTGATCTTGTGTAGCCGTCTGTTGAAGAAGAGAGACGAGGGCTCCGTTCCTCACATGTCTGCTCTTCTGCATGAGGTGAGCTGAACTGAACTTTGGGAATTTGTTGAGTAATGCTGTTAGTCTGGGCCTCAGATGCTCCACCCATAAATGCTGTGGTGGTTAGTGCTGATGCAATCCACCAAGTGCAGTCTCATTAGCTTAGTTTCCATCCAAAGAGGTGAATTAGATTTATGCGCAAAACTGGAATATCACATAAAAACTTTGTGAAGCCACTGTGGGCCTTTTTCATGATAAACTACTTGTGCCTTAGAAAAAAAGGATGTAACAATGAACGCACGGTTGTTTTTAAGGGAGCAAGACTACTCTTTGGGAGCTCAGATCAGTTCTGAGAGGTAATAATATTAATTTTAGAATGACCAAAACAACATGTTAGGTGTTATACGATGGTTTTGATCTGCTGTTGTATCCATAATTTTTTGTTATCGCATGATCAGTTCAAACAAAACTCAAAATCTAGACATCAAATATATATTTTATGGGACGTCTATTTCTTGTTTTCTTCATGCCATCAAAACTTTTATAAATATTTTCTCCAGTTATAATACACCTGAGCTGACAGTTTTCCTTTAGCTTCTGCTTGGTGTCAGCCTGGACTACTGAACTTTCGAACTCTACTAAGCACAAAATGTTCCTTTTCATCTCTTTGTTACATGCTGGTCTGTTATTATGCTCTTATTGATTTGACAGTTACCTGCCTCTTTGCAGCTTGTAAAAAGGAAATTGTGGTTGGTCTTTTTTAAGTTGCCCAGGTGGGGTTTCCTGTTTAAGTGTATATTATATTAAGATAAAAAGTCCTTCAGACATTATATAAAACAACTCTCAGACTAATGCTGTTTATGGAGTATATGTTAAGTATGCACTTAGTTCTATCTTGTGTACATTTTGTACACTTTTGTACTTTTTTGCTTTGGTTAATTCCCGGTTAATGGTAAATAAAGTTATGGAGAAATGCAAAACTAAAAATTGCTTGTATTTTTTTACAATTATTAATAAAATTTGTGAATATCGGTGGTTTAAAACTTTATATACAGTTGAAGTAAGAATTATTAGCCCCCCTGTTCATTTTTTTCCCAATTTCTGTTTAATTGAGAGCATATTTTTTCAACACATTTCTAAACATATACACAATAAACAATAGTTTATTAACTCATTTCTAATAACTGATTTCTTTTATCTTTGCCATGATGACAGTAAATAATATTTTACTGGATATTTTTCAAGATACTTCTATACAGCTTGAAGTGACATTTGAAGGCTTAACTAGGTTAATTAGGTTAACTAGGCAGGTTAGGGTAATTAATATTATTGTATAATGATGTTTTTTCTGTCGAAAAGAATTATAGCTTAAAGAAGCTAATAATATTGTCCTAAAAATGTGTATTTAAAAAATAAAAACTGCTTTTATTCTTGCCAAAATTAAACAAAATTTTCTGAATCTGTTAAATATTATTTGGGAAATATTTAAAAAAGAAAAAGTTCAAAGGGGGGCTAGTAGTTCTGACTTCAACTCTATAGTATATACTGTATATGCTACTGCGATGTATTCAGTGTTGTGTAATTCACTTTGATTACTTGATCATTAATCTTGTATTTAAATTTAAAAGTTACTCAATGAGTAGTTTAATAATTGACTCAATAATAAAGATCCACAGTAATCTTACAATAGAAGTCAAACTCTTGATTTATTACATTTGAGTCAAGCATGTTCTTTTAGACTTTATTAAAAATAAATAACACTTACATTTGAAACATTTTATGTATTAAAACTAAGATGTTTTAAATGAATGACTTTGTATTTCATATATGTATATAGTATTAATATAACGACATGCATTTCTAAAACATTACATTGTTTATGCGTGTGCAATTGTCAGACAGTATTTTTTAGTTACAAATATAAACTTATTATATTATATAATTTTATTATTTTGTATATAGCTTGTACGTCATAAACAACTGTAATTAAACCATCTAAACAATTTAAAGTAATCCCTTTAATTAGCTTATTATGCAGAACAAAAAAAAATTAATTGCAGTAAATAGTTACCTTGTAACAATTACACACAACACTGGCTCTACATGAACCAAGATGTAGTGTTAAAAATGTTGCCTTTTTTTTTTTTCCATGAATAGTGTATATAATTAAATGTTTAAAAAACAGACCTAGTTTTAACATTCAGTGATGAAAAAAATAAAATCGGATACAGCATGTGCAGATCAAAGGCCACAAACATTATAGTGCTTAATCGTGTTCTGTACACACACAATACAGTAATAAATGGGAGGCATGACTACATTTGTAAACCAAACCACTGTGACAAAAATTGTGTATGAGACCGAACTGAGCAAACAAGAACAAAAAGCGAAAATAAGAACAAGTTTATAGTAAACTTAAACCTAAATGCTTTATCCTAGAAATAAACAAGTCACATATACCGAAGTCATCACGACCTGTCTACTTTCACATCATAAACTAGATGATGTAAGCCTGAAGATGCTTAAGTGTCTCTTACAAGTGATAATGGCAACACTTCAAGAGCAGACTGTCTTTCAGACATGAACAAAACAAGACACTATTTTAATTAAAGCCACTGATCATAAGAAGTCTTTTGTAACATTTATTTAAGCCATGATGTCAATCATTACAATTTTAGGTATGAGTCATGTTGCACACACACACACACACACACACACACACACACACACACACACACATACACACAAAATCATTTTGGTTATTAATTCTCATATAAATGTATTTGTCACTCCAGAAAGTTTGCAATGTGTAAATGGCCTAAATTTAATGCCACAAAATAGCTGTTTTCCATTTGTTTCCACATTCAACTGTAACCGTGACAGCTGTAACAACAACAACAACAGTAACAATACATTTGTGTTCTTCTTAAACCCAGAGCACTATGCAAAGCAACTACAGACATAAAAATGTTAGTGAATCGAAAAAAAAAAAAAAAAAAAAAACGATAAATAAAACATGAGAAAATGTATATTTTTAAATATGCATGAAATGACACTTGACCATAGTTATTTTGCTATAGCACACATCGTTAGTCATAAGGTGAATAATTTAAACACTTGTTTTTGGTCAAATTTAATCAAAATCTATCCATGTGCATTCACACTGGAACTGTCAGTCTGAAGTCTTGGGCAAACTATGCATAGCCACGCCCCTCCAACCGTTAGTTTGCTGCAAGTGAAAGATAAAAAGGGGAGCACAAAAATAAAATCCCTTCTTCAATATTTTTTATTATATTACTGGGTTAAAGTTTGCCACAACTACTTGTTCACCTGACTTTAAAGACTTAATTAAACATCATTTATAATCAGCATTAGAGTTCATTCATTAATTTTTCTTTGGCTTAGTGCCTTATTAGGGGTAGCCACAGTGGAATGACCCTCTAACTATTCTGGCTTATATTTTACGCAGCAGATACCTTTTCTGCCGCAACACAGTACTGGAAATCACCAATGCACTCTCGCATTCACACACTCACTTGTACAATACGGCCAATTTAGTTGATTCAATTAACTTATACCACATGTCTTTGGACTGTGGGGCAAGCTGGAGCACCCGGAGAAAATCCATGCAAACACGTGGAGAACATGCAAACTCCACACAGAAATGTCAACTGGCCCAGCCGGCACTCAAACCAACAACCTTCTTGCTGTGAGGCAATAGTGCTAACCACTAAGCCACTATGCCGCTGTATTATGATATTACATCACCCAAATATGTATTTATTTACTTCTAAATCTTTTTGTCAGTGCAGACTTAACTTATGCTCTGATAATCTGAAACTGATTATTTTAACCTTGAAAAACAAATTCAAACTGAAACAACAGGACAAAAGTGTAGTTGATGACTATAGGGCTGGGTATTGAATTCAGATGATTCGATTAGATTATGATTCACAATCGATTCCCAATTTGATGAAAACAATTACATTTAATTTAAACAAAATGGAATTTCAAAAAGTGAATAGGGTGAACATAATTTTACAAATGATAAATTAATTTTAAAAAAGTATTAAGAGTAGTGTGAGTGTGGCCATCACTAGGAGTATGTGCGAAAATCAATTGTTTGGCCCAGCCTTAACTATTTCACGTGTGTGATCACCCTGTTCTGATCAGCCTTGGCTGTTCCCTGAAGTGTACGATCACGCCAGAGTGCACATCATCAACTGCTAAAGTTCAAATCTGATGGTGCACGCTGAGGCACAGTAAGAGGTGCGCAGCACTGTGTTCATAAATCACAATTTATGCGTGCTTTCAAACAAATAACATTTATTTTAAGTTTCAGACATTCAAATACATATAACTACAAGTAAAACATACCATTTAAGGTTTGTAAATGACACGCGAATGTCTACGGAGATGGCAATAAAATTTATTTTTCAATGTAACTTTGTTCACATAAGATACACACTATTTATGTTAATAGAATATTTTCTCTATTTCTATTCCAGATAAGCCGTTGGTTATTTCAGCAGAAAATTATGAATAAACTTGACGTAAATCCAGCAGATCTGATCTCTCCTGTGATTGTTGCTAGAAGGAATACAGCTGCAATCAGAAGTTAACAAGAAGTATTAATATTATCTATCAAATTACGCATTAATTTTTTTATTAGCATACCCCTACCTCAACCCTAAACCCAACCATCTCTGTAATGTAAAGATATTATTTGTTGTACAGTTGCACAAAAATTATGCTATATTGACATGCGCATCCTCAGCTGGATTCCATTAAGACTTAACCCTTTCCAGCAGCTAAATAAATGTGTAATTCAATAAATAATATAACCACTTCTCATTAACTTCCAATCGCAGCTGTAATCCCTTCTAGCAACAATGGTGACAGAAATCCTGTCATTAAACAAATAATACAATCATTATTCAGCTGTTTAAAAGACAAAATATATTTTCTATCACATATTTGAGAATCGGAGTATCAGAAAACTCACAATGTAATTAGAACATTAGTCAATATTTACAAAA